GTATTGCCATTTATGCAGAATTTTTTCTCCATGAAAAAGTCTGTCTTCAGTAACACAACACACTGTATTTGTATTTGAATTAACAATGCTAATAAAGACAACTTAAAAAACAACTAAAATATACATACCTAAAATAACTGAACTCAAATAATAATAAGTTCCATTGCTGGAGCTGCTTGTATTGCATGGTATGATATGATTAAGTTTTATTGCTGGAGCTGCTTGTAATGTACGTATGATATGATTAAGGATTTGTTGGGCTTGTATTGGGCAGGTATGACCTACATGAATTACACAGTTTACATCTGACACACTAAATCTATGTAATTGTCACCACATGGCTACACTACCACCAGGCACGAGGCATGAATGGCTAACGGAGCTCCAACTGCAAGAGCATGACAACAGCACGCAACCAAACCACAACAACACAAGCCCAAACAGCATGACGGACAGGCGGCAGGTACATGTGCGTCGCAGAGAAACGAAGCAGGCGAAACACACCAACGGGCACGGTGCGGGCACGGCCACGGCACACAAACACGGCACAAACACATCACACAACACACACCGCCGTCGGTCGGCGCGAGGCACACGACGCCACATCACTAACAAACACACACACACACAAACACACCAACGCGCGGCAGCACCCAACACACGCACAACGCGCCGCGCGCACACACACGCACACACACACAACACAACAAGCACGCACGCCACCGCACGCACGTACGCACGCACGCAACGTTTACCACGCACAGACACACCACACACACCACACAACAAGCACGCCACACTACACACACCCACACACACACAAGGCCGCAACGCACCGCACGCCACGCACTCGCACGCATTGCACGCACAGACACACGCACAACACACACACGATGACCCCCATACACGCACGCAGCGCGACGCAATCACGCACACACACCACAACGCGCGCACTACCAACACACGCACAGCACACGCACACGCCATCGCCACATTTGCACACACAAACACACACACACACACACACACAGCAACACACACCACACCACACAACACACAACACACAAACAAGTCACGTACGCACCTACCACCATATACAGCAAGACATGTCACACAGACACATTATTCTGGCTAAAGTAAGCGAGATCTGTTGAAAAGGTGACGGAACGTGTGCTACATATAATTCCATATGCCTATGATTGGCTGAGATAAACTAAGTAGGTATCTGATTGGTTATTTAATTACTGCCACAAAATAAATATAATGATGATCACTCAATTAGAAAATGATGATAGACATTAAATTAAGAATTAGTGACCGGCATGTCACTAAATACCATTTGTGTCCCACCTCGCCTGTCATATGCGTACGCCTGCTATCCACTCGCACATTTATTTGTGATTTTACAACTGTTCGCGAAAAATTTGACCGGCAAGCTAAAATTATGCTCCCTTACGTCATAGTGGCGCCATCTGTCAAGCGAAACACGCGTAGAGTACTGGTTATCGTATTATCGTATACGTTGTAGAGGGCTTCGCGTGTAATGTCAACATCCCACAATTCGTTAATTCTGCTGGTGGCAGCGATAGCGTGAGTTGCGTTCTAGATACGGACTCTCCAACAGCCATCTTAAACAAGTGCGCCGTACTGCTGGGAAAATGGTCAGTGAGCCCCCACCCCCACCTTAATAGCTTTATTTCAGAACTCAATTATTCATGATCAATATTTATAAGGGTCCTTCATCCTTTAGTGTCGCCTAAACATATTGTCGCCTGAACATAAACTCAAGCATATTGTCACTTATTTTGAAACATCTAGGGCCTTAGCTAGCGGGGGTGGGGTGCAGTTGCCACCGGGCATTGGGCAGCGGTACGGGAATGATGAAGTGCCCACGGTCAACTGCCCAGAAGACAACCCTGCGTGCGGTGTTACCTGCATGCTAAATGAGTTTGCCACGCCCCTGTCACCAATAACAATTTCACAAGCTTTTGAACAATATCAATATTTTACACGCTTGTGAAAAAGAATTATAAAGTGCGCATATATGGAATAGGCCTCACCCAGATGGATATATCGTTGACCACACGTTGACGTTGTTTCGTCACGATGTGATGGGCTTCTCTCTTGCGAGATCTCTCGCGTTCAATAGACACGTGAACAGAATCATCCCCACCATCTTGTCTCTGTGTTTTTTGTGGTCGATGTTTTTAACTGTGATAACTTGAAAGGCGTATAATTAGAAGTAAAACGAGCCTGACGTAAGTTAGTAGGCCCTACAGTATCAATTGATTCATCGCGCGGACAACGGACTTGCTCGTTGTTCAAGGCGTATAATAAAAAACATTTCATGTGTATTAATGTGTATTTCATGTGTATATATAATCTACGCGCAGTATTAATACAGCTGTTCATGTTCAGTTGCAATCGACATGTAAAGGAAGTTTAAAAAAAATACATGGGTGGCGACTTCGAACGTTAACGAAGTAACTAACAATTACTATTAACCACGATTTATTGAAAGTGAATAATGATCAAAATGTTTATTCACGTTTTACTAATGTTATTATAATTATAATGATATATATTATATATAATTACGCATATTATAATTACAGTACTGTGGTAATTTAATATCCAGTGCCAATCGTCTCGTTGTAAACGAATGAACGTGCCGAGGAGACGGAGAAACAACACGTCAAAAGGTATGCATGCAACGATTGGTTAAGTTATCGGCTCCAGCCACGTACCAAGAAGCAGCAGAGTTACATGTACACGCCTGAATCTGGCTAGTGTTCGGAAATACTATTCCTACCGAATTGACAGCGTAAAAAGTCGTGCTCTCGTAGACAGCTCTCTGATTTTGTTAAATATTTACGTATGACCGATTAAGTGTTTTTCTGGTGATATGGTTAGAGCGAAAACATTTTCTCGCATCTTCACTCTGTATTTCTCTGTTATACTTACTAACATTGCTAAAGATAATTCCTGGCACGAGAAAACACATGAACATGTGGCTATAAATAGTTATTATGCACATTGATAATAATTTAACAAGGAACATATCACTGAAAATTAGATTTTGGCTGTCACGTATTTATGAGGTTTTCATGAAATTAAATTCGGCCTCTGATCTCACATACATAATCATTAATTACCGCAAATACCATTTTAATCAAACATATGGACATGCTCCGCCCCATGTAATATATAGATCATATCAATATAGGTACACTGCATAGAAGGAAAACACTTGAGAAACATAGCGTAGTATTACTGTTAATTCTCCAGAACAAATACAAGGAGGCAGATACCATAGAATTTCTATTGACTAAAGCAGACAGGCATTCATGCACTGCTTATGCCAGAAGTAGAGGTATAGCACGTTTTCACGTGTTCAAGATTATAAGCCAATTACTTTTAGGAATCTAATATATTAGCAAAGGCAAGTTTTCTACTACTACTATTGTTCTATAGCAATTTTGCACTATTGATCAATGTCAACTAACAATAATATAACAATAAAAGCAGCAGCACTATTCAATACCATCAAGTGTCTATTATGTACTCTTGATACCATCAAGAGTATGTTATTATCTACTCTTGATACCATGCAGAGTTCTCCGCATACCTTCAACGCATGTAGGGTCTGACACGCCTTCAAAGCTGAACCTAATTTGCAACAGCCCATAAATTTTAATAACCTGACATGCCTCAATTGCGACATGCGTTAACTTACAGCTGTGTTTACTTTTAACAATCCCATCACAGACATGTTGAGTTTTAAAGCCAGGATTTCTCATGTTTTTACCAACCGTTTTCATTTTCTCTCGTAACGCCACGTAAGTTCACTTTAGAAATAGCATAAATTAATAACTCCATAACATTAGTTTTAAACATAC